TGGGGGAGAGAAAGAGCATGGTGGGTGGGCCTTTTTGTCCTACAGACTCCTTCATAAAAATATTTGTTTAAAGAGAAGTGTTACTCCAGCACCTGTTGAAGAAAAGGAAATCACGCTGAGAACTTGTTAAAAACAGTAAGGAAAACTTGGTTCAAGAAGGCACTGCTGGGCATGGAGCACATGCCTGGGACCCAAGAAACTGAGGAGGCTGAGGTAGGAGGATGGCAAGTTTGAGGCCAGAGTAGGCAACTTGGGCAGATCCTGTCTCCCATTAAAAATCAAAAGGGTTAGGGACTACAGCTTAATGGTAGAGCATTTGCCTGGCATGAGAGAAGCCCTGGGGTTCAATCCCCAGCACTGGGGGGTAAAAGGGACCCATAAAAGAAGAAACTACTATAACTGGGTTCTTGCATTCATGGGAAGAGAGAATGAGCTCACTTCCAAACACAACCAAGAAAAGTGGGGATTTATTTATAGACAAGGAACATGGACGGGAAATACCAAGAATCAAGGGGAGGAGGATTCTTTCCAAAAGGACCCAAGAGAATTCTTACTGAGCACAGGCCAGGGGACCTGCTATCACTGGGAGGGGGATGCGGGACGGAGAACTTGGTCAGATATGAGGTTATCAGATGGGGAGACTGAGGGGTTCTTAAAGCTGGGTAGTGCCGGCCTCCCTCACGAGGCCCAACCCTGGAGGTCAAGGTCCAGTGGGCAGAAAGAAGACCCAATGAAGCTGGGTTAAGGTCAAAGTCCTTGTCACATTCTCTTAGCCTATTTTCTTTAATTCTTTTAAGATTTGTTCTGTTTAGTTGTATATAAAAGTAGAGTAAGCACATTTGGACATATTTATACAAACATGGAGTACATCGTATTCTGTTGCTCTAGCTAACTACCAGAGACTAGGCAATTTAGATAGAAGAGAAGTTTATTTGGCTCATCATTCAGGAGACTGGGAAGTCCAAGCTCAGGAAGCCAGCATCTGGTCAGCATCTGGTGGGGGCTTTCTGCCTGCACGGTACCCTGGAGGACACCACGGGCAGGTGTCAGATGTCAGCTGATGTCTCTCTCCCTCTTCTTACAAAGCCACAAAAGCTCTCAGTCCCCCTACCCCCATGACCTCATCTAATCCTAATTACTTTCTAAAAGCCCCACCTCCAAAGCTCAGGGCTGAAATTTCCAACAGGTGAAACTGGGGAGACACACACAAACCATGGTTCACATCGCCCCCGCTCTCACCCTTAAACGCATGCACACCCCACATACCGAGCTGACCTAGTGGAACACCACTGGGTGGTTTATAGGTCTTCTTTCCATTTTAGAGTTGGAGAAGGTATTAGAGACCAGCCATGGCCTTATTTTATAAATTAAGAACTGGGGGCTCTTAGGAACATTTAAGGCGTCAACATGGGATCCGGGCTGAAACCGCTGGAGCCCTAATGAACCCCAGGGTCTGCCCTCCCAGATGGCAAAAGATAAACATCATTTTGATTTCAAAAAGAGTGCAGCGGGGGACACACAGAAAGAAGGAGCATAAATTCTCACACCTCAGGAGGATTTCAAGTTCAGGGCCAGCCTGGACAATTTAGCAAGACCCTGTTGTTTTTACAAAAGGGCTGGGGATGTAGCTCAGTGCTAGCGTCTAGCAAGTGTGAGGCCCTCAGTTCAATCCCCTGTTCCACCATAAGTAAATTAATTAATTAGCTAAATAATCAATTTAACAATTAGGTAATTAATAATTTAAATAAGTCTTAACAATCATACTCCTTACGCTCCTCAAATTCAGGCAATTTCTGACCCTGTCTGAAAAGGTGGAGAAATGGAGATGATGAGAATTTTCCTGTGGCAGGTGAGGGGTGAGAGGAAAAGAAAGTGATTCTTTAAATCGACGTGCCCTCTCCTGTTTGTTTGCAAAAAACAATCACTTTTTGATGATGCGGGCCTCATCAGGAGCGGTAATTTATGGACACCCTTTCACAGGGGAGGCGAGACGGCCTACAAAACCTAACAGCACAGGCACGCAGAAGGAAATATTGCTTCGAAAAGAACGGCAACCAAACAATCAGCTCCTCCTGTGTACGTTGGAAAGGTCTGACCGTAAATCCTGACTTTGACATTCATCTCAGATCCATTTCGGAGGCAGCCCACAGACTCAACAGGGCGAGAGAAAACACTCAATCATAATTACCTCATAATGCTTGAGAACTGGTAGAGCTTCTCAAAATATCATAAATCTATTGTGTTCTCTCCTGTTTTACTTAACAGCCAATTAATGGTACTGTTTAAAAGAATTAAAGCCAGGGTTGAGAAGGGGTGAGGGTGGGGGACCAGCTTTCAACTCCAGCCAGCTCGCAGATAAAAATGCAGACGGAGCAGCCCTTACAGATGGGCTTAACACCACTGCAGAAAGACCCTGCCGGGATCCACACCCTCCCCGCGATCTTGTTCTTATTAGCATATGGAAGAGGAAAACATTTTCAACACCGTATTGAGTCAGTTTTAATGTCCTGCAGGGTGACATCGGGCAGGAAGGCAGGAGGCCTAGCTTCCTTCTGAGAGGGTCTCCTGCAAGTAAAGGCTCTGAACCACCCACGTGGCCAATGGAACGGAGTCAAATGAGCAGACGCACAGCCCCTTCCCCAGGAGTCCCCACACCACGGTGACTCTGGAATCTGACACAGCCCTGTGACTTTGTCGCACATTTCTTGATGAAGACCATAAAAAAAAAAATCCCATTTGTTCTCAGAGAGGTTGGTCTGTATGTAAGAAGAGGGTCTCATCCATTGTCACCCCAAGTTCTCAGCAAAGACTGAGGCAGCTGCGCGTGATCATGAACACGAAATGATCCCTCCCGTGTGCGTGGCCTTTGGCAAGGTATGCTCTTTGGGCCTCAGTTACTGGCTCTGGAAAATAAGCATGTGAGTGACCACCTATGACCCAAGTAGCAAGCTCATTCTGAAGCTATGGAGAATTCTTGGGTGGTATATGAATCTCCCTCTAGTATTATGATCTATGGCCAGAGTGCTATGTGAAATATTTACAGCCAGTAAAGAATGGGTCCTGGGTAGGATGTCTAGTCAATCGGAAGACAGTGTGGTCACGAAAACAGATGACAGTCCCAAATAGCCAATAGAGCCATCCTGGTGTGAGCTAGCTAACGTCCACCCTGGTCCCTAGTGACTGTCAAAATAGTGCTGAGCAGAGGCTCACAAGGGGACAGGAAGATGGAGATTACACAGACAGGAGATGGCCAAGAGGCAGACGAGATTTGAAAGGTGCTATTGATGACAAGAGAACTAGCTGGGTCACACCCATGAGGACCCTACCCTACTCAGGAGAGAGCTAACCTGGACTTGTGCTTAGGAGCCAGACTGATGTGGCTCAGCTCTAATCTTTGTGCTGGATGTATGGCCTGCAGCAAGCTACTTAACCTCTCTGAGCCTCCGTTGCCTTATCTGTCAAATGGAGATCAAGTGGAGGGTCACATAAGAGAAAAAAAAACTAAATACACAAGGCAAAAGAGCACAAGTCAAAATTTATCTTTGATAATTCTTCAAAATGCCTATAAAGTTTCTCTCTCAAATCATCTCCTGGTGGGTCTAACCCAGCTACATTTTCCTTTTACAGCAAGAAAAATAAAATTCTTAGTGTGTGTCCATGAGTCATTTTTAAAAATATTTTCATTTTTCAGCCCTGGGAGGGAACCCAGCGCTCAGCCAGGAAAGCTCTCCACCACCGAGCGGCCCCACCAGCCCTTTCTATTTTATTTTGAGATAGGGTCTTGCTAAGTTGCCCAGGCTGGCCTTGAACTTGTGATTCTCCTGCCTCAGCCTCCCGAGCAGCTGGGACTGCTGCTGTGCACCACCGTGCTCAATGTATGAACCGTTTTTAGATGTAAAAAAAAAAATTGCATTATGAATTAATTTCCAGGTTAGGTGTGAGATGCCCACCCCATGGGCGGCATTCAGGGAACAGAGCCATTCTGAGGGAAACTTGCATCTCACGTGTACTCCAGGGTTCAAGCCAGATAAATGGAAATGGGAGCAAAATTACCTGTACCAGGGATAGCACATTCGTTGTGTCCTGGTGTCTGTCCCCACCCCTCCCACACACACTCTCTCTCTTCCAAACACACATAGTTATGTTGGTCTAGACTGAACAAGTCAAACGCATGCAACCCGACTGCAATTGCACCTTGCCTGCTTGCCACGGTGAGTGGGAGGGTAAGTGCGTGTCAAGGTCACAGGGAGTCCTGCAGGCACCCCCTCAGCTCTCACTACCACTTTCCTGGAAGGTGCTGTGGGTGATTCTGGAAGGTGCTGTGGATGATTCTTCTTCAAGAGAAGTAGACAGATCACATCGATGGTGATCCTACCCTTACCCAGCATCTTTATCCTCCTCTGCCCCAGAAGATGAGAAGAAGATAAGAACCAGGAAGAAGGGGAGGAAGAAGAGGACGGAGGAAGGGGAGAGAGAAAGGAGTCCACTGAAGATATCTTCGTTTTGGTAACGAAGGCACTGGTGGCTGGTGCAGCAGGAGACGTTAGAGCTTGCGTCTGTGTGCACCGTCAGAGGACATTAATGCACTATTTATCGATCGTGTTCCTTATTAGGGACCAGGCACCATGCTAGGCTTTTTCATGGGTGACAGAAAAAAATATATATCAATAATAACCCTTCGTTCCTTCTCCGTGACATCTGTTGAAAGGACTCCATGCTGCCTTCCTGGAGCCCAAGTCTCTGCAGAATTAGAACACAGAGGTGGGTGGGGAGAGTAGAGTCAGGGGAAGGGAATGTGGGGAGGGAGTGAGAAAAGGAGTGGGGCATCGCTGGGCTGAGCAGCCAGTCGAGTTTGGAAAAAAGAGAGAAAGAAGATATGGGATGAGTTGAGGACAGTCACCAGGACAGCGTGAGAGAAAAGGCTCTTGAGAAGTTTGCAGCATGCCAGGAGTGAAGCCCACGGGGAGGGGCCTTTATATAAACTTAAGTCACTGTCGTTCTATGTTAGTTTTCATAGTTTATTTTTTATCTTACTTTGACAGTAATTCTCTGGTCAGGAGTCAGGGTGCTCCTCCACCTTTGAGCTGGTTGCTCTTTCCTCTCCCTTCTGTTTTGCATTTAATAGTCCTTTCCATCATTGTTCAGCTCAGTCTCTGAAATTTCAATTAAAAAAAAATCCATTAATGATTGCAGTGATTAACCGGGGCTCCAGATTTAGTACACGACATGTCTCGGAAGCCCCCGTGCGTACGCCAAGGAGGGATCAACGTAGGGAGGCTTCTCAACAGCTTCCCCTAGAAAACCAGTGAAAGTGGCCGTTTTTTCAGGTGAGATATTTTAGGCACGGCTGCTCTCAGCAGTGGACTTGCGACAGAGAATCCGTCAAAGCAGGCTGCTTTAACAACAGACACTCACAGGGCTGTCCTTGCAGCCTCCTGGTGGCCTCAGGCTTCCTTCCCTAGGTGTGACCACAAGATGTGTCCACCAGTGACTCAGGTGAGACTTAGAAACTGGAAGAAATGAGGGACCAGGACCATAGTCTATGGAGCTTGGCTGCAAGTTCAACAGCCAGATCTCCGAGACCTGAGTCACCTGCAGACCTTTCTGATGTTCATATCTGCATCTTGCTAACTCCTTGGAACTTGCAAGAGGCACCCTCCCCAGGAGCAGTGGGGTTCCCCAGCTAATGTTTTTTCATGGACAGAGAAGGGTGCCAACAGGAGAGAATGGGTGAGGGTTAGGAGATGGTCTCAGCCTCTTGCTTTTTTCCTGAAAGGGAATGTGACGCATGTCACAAAGTCACCCAAGATCTTAGGGCTTTTGACAAGCTAGGGAGCTGAATTTTGGTCATTGAATCTCTTGCTTTGTTGTTTTCATCAACAACTTACTTGCAAATATATTTTTCTGAAATCTTGGATTTAGCTTTCTAACGATGCCATGCTCGCCTCGAGGTTAATTAAGTGAAAACTTTTGCCAGCCACAGGGAAGCACATTTATTCTATAGGATTTTGATGATTCGGGATCTGTTAAAATCCATGTGAACACATCCTATCTTTCTGGATCTTTGTTTTGTTTTGAATCACATTTATTGAGTGTCACTGAGACCTAGAGCTACCTTGCTAGACACAGATATGATATCTCAACCTTGGACCTGAGCTCAGAGGGAAAGAGACCTTGGGAGATGGACAAGAGGATAGGTGATCGTGTCCTGTTCTGTAACAGACCCTGCCAAGGTGCGGAGGGTTTGGCTAGGAATTCCTCTGTGCACCGTTCCCGTCCCCTGTCATGTGGGTGTGAGTCTTATCCCAGCGCCCCCTGACATGATGCACATATATCCCACTGCCACCAGCTACAAATCTCTTCTGTGATGAGGAAGGAAAAGGTGACATGGGGTGGGATTACAACATATTAAGAAATTAGAACATTATAGGCACCTGAAATGTAAATATATATATACACACACATATATATGTATATATTTCTGCCATATTCTCCTTACCAATTCCCATGACCCATGGAAACCCCAGCTGCTGGGAATGTCTAATTGCACACAGAAGGCACGGCTCAGGGCATGGAAGAGCCCTCTAGCCCAGGCCTGGGACATAGCTCTGCAATTGGGAGGGCGTCTGCAGTGAACAGCCTGGTCTACTTACAGGAAGCCATGCCCCAGCCTCCCGTTCCCTACCTGCTAGAGCACCTGGGTGGATTATCTTCAGTGTCCACCATAGGGTGGTGCTTGATATTTTCTGAAACAGCAGACTGGGTGAGTCACCTAAATCCATCTCGACAGTTACCATTTCCTCCTGACGGGGCACTAGGAGGCATTGTCTCTAATCCTCGCCCCTCTGTGAGTCTGGAGAGGTATGCGTCACCCTGGGGTCCACAGCTCCTGGTCTCTCAGTCTCTTACTCTGCCCTCCCTGTGGGCGAGAGAAGAAGCTCCTCTCAGTTAAGAAGCTGGTTCGGCTCCGAGAAATGGGCCACCTCTTCTGCCTCCTCCTCTCCAGGTTGAGTGATTCTGCTCTCTGAACATTTACTCATGAACTTCTTCTTGAACTTTCTTGTCATCATTTTTTTTTTTTTTTGTTTCCTTCTGTGCTTTAGAACATCAGGTCAGTGTTTCTCGAGTCCCTTTCTAGAACACAATGATCTCATTTTGTTATAATATTTCTGATTAGTACAATGTGACTCGTAGACTCTCAGTTCAACTTTTAAAATTGTATTAACTGTGGTCATTTGATATGAAACTATATTAATTTAATCCACATTACTGCCCCCATAGCTAATATTTCTCTTGCTATAAAATCATGGCTAGAGAAATTTAAAAAAAAAAAGATCTAATAAGCCAATTCTCAAAACTCCAACCATTCAAACCAAGAAACAGACAGGGTTCTGTGAAATATTTAGACCTCATTGTTTGAGTGTTTGTTCTTTCTCTCTCTGCATGGTGTAATAGGATTATAAAACAAAGCAAAACAAAAACATTGGACTCAAGCCCTTAATTCCTTACTTTTGTCTTTGCGACCTCAGGCAAACCATTTAAACTCCCTGTGTGTTTTCACAATTTATGACTTCATATCTGAGCACATCTGGGCAGCAGCACCCCAGTGCCAGGAGCCCTGGCCTGTCTGTGACTTGCAATATGGCGAGGAAGGAGGCATCCTTTGGTTTAGAAAAAGTGTCACCCAGGCCTCGAATTTTTAAAAGTGTAAAGAAATTCTTCTTTCAGTCTTTATTGATAACTCTCTCCCATTGCTCCCACCTTGTAGGACTTGAATACATGGCGGATCAGTAGGTAGATCTAAGTGACAGAGACCATACTACTGGTTTCTCCCTTGATGCTCCCCTGGGAGAGCCCCCATACAAATACACTTCAGTTCATCGGAACGCCTTCCAGCATGCCCGATCCCAAGCTGACCCACCCTGGGCTCGTTTTGAGTTCCTGATGCACCCCTATGACTGGGTCATTGTGAGGTTGCAGTATAAATGAGGGGCAGCCCATTGTTAAATAAACTCTGCAAATGGAGGCTTGGATCATCTCCCACAGGTTTTTCTATAGGATGTGTAGGGAAACTCCTCAAGTGTGACAGAGAAGTATGAAATGCTGAAGTCAAACTGGGACCTTTGAGAAGAGTTGAACTATAGGCTCAAGGGCAAGAGTCTTCAGATCTGGATAGAAGAACGTCCTTATGATTTAATAAGGCTGCTTTGGTTTTGGGCAAGTAATTTCAGAAATAATACAAATAAAGTCTGTGGCTGAGAAATTACTTAGATCAACATTTCTCAAAGCATGGTGTACATCCTTCATGCTGTGGGAATCTCTGATAATAAACAAATGGAAGTTCTTCTTTATCCATAGGGGCTATACTCCAAGACCCTCAGTGGATGCCCAAATACGTGGATGGTACCCAGTCCTATAATTTAATATATTTTTCGTCTTAAACAAGCAATTATCATGTACTAAGGTCATAACTTACAGTTTGAGCTGCAATAGAAAACTAGCATGAATTCCTTTTTTTTCCCCACAATTTTATGCTTATATTTGTCCTTAACAAGGACCTTAGCAACCTCAGCATCTAATTTTTTTTTTCTTATTAAGTTGAAAGCTTTCACCTTTTCACTTAAAGGAAGCTAATCTGAATTTCAGGCTTATCTTTGGTATATCTGAGTTGCCAACATCACTACTTTTATCCTTTGGGACCATTAGGTAAAATAAGGGTTATGTGAACATAAGAAATGAGATATCAAACAATTGCTTTGATAACTGGGACAGCTACTAAGTGACTAGCTGGTAGATAGAATATACTGCATGGAAACAATGAATGAAGGGATGATTCACATCCAAGGTGAGAAGGAGTAAGATAGTAAAAGATTTCATCTTGTTACTTAGAACAGAATGTAATTTAGAACTTAACAATTATTTATTTATGGAATGTTCTATTTAATATCTTTCGCCTGTAGTTGACCACAGATAACTAGACTGCAGAAATTGAAACCACAGATAAGGTGGTACTACTCCATAAACAGGTTTGGGAAACTCCACATCATATATCACTATCTAAGAGGGTCACCATGTGCTTTGGCACACTCAAGATTAAATCCTGAGTAAAGAAACTTAAAAGTTTTTATAACTCACTGATTTAAATACCCTAATAATAAAACTCTTTCTCTAAAAAAAAAAGTCCAGCACTTATTAAAATTTCTCAGGAGTAAGGTTTTATGGAGTGTTTTTGAGAAAAGTTAGGTTAGAATGGGGATCAGCAAACTTTTTTGTAAAAAATGGAATAGTCAAAAAAATGTTCGGTTTTGCAGCTCATATCTATATAGTCTATGACAATTATTCTACTGTTATGGCATGAAAATTATCATAGACAATACACAAATGAATCAGTGTGGTTGTGTTCTAGTAAATTGGCATTATGGGTGCTAAAGTTTGAATTTTCTTGAAATTTTTCTTCTGTTCCAAAAAGCAAATTATCCTTTTGATGTCTTTTCAATCATTTTTTTTTTAATGTGGAAAAAAGCAAATTCTTAGCTCCATGAGCTAAGATGAGCAAAAATGGAGTGAACTGAATCTGACCCGTGGGCCATATTTTGCTGGTCCTTGGCTCAGAAGCATGATTGTCAAGTGACATAACTGAATGCCAATGCAGGTCCCTGAACCCAAAGTCTCCGGAACAGAAGTGCCATCTGCTTCGTCTCTGGGCTCAGTCTGCTGCCTAGAAGATGCCTAACTATAAGGTTGGCGAAGGAGCATCCACTGAAAGAGGGATATCCACCAGTTCAATGTTCAATCCACCAGTCAGGACATGGGCAGAATTTAGTTCCCCAAAGTTGCTTCCTTTTGTGGCTGTTGTATTGGCTTTCATCATTAGATATCTCAGTATAATTGACAAAGAGATGAATCTGTGGCTTCACTGGATATTCCATGTCAACAAGGAATTTTACGCCTTTTTGCATTCCATCTGATTACGTGTCAGGACCATTGGCAGTTGCCCAGGGTGTGAGTTAAGGCTAATGACAGATTGTTCTGATAGAATAAAACTAAATGCATCGTATGAGTTTTCCTGTCTTTGCAAGACAGAAATTTAAAGTCAGTGACAATACCTAGAGCTGAAGAAATATCTTTCTACTTATTTCTAGATACTTCTTTTATTCACAGTTGCCTCTTTGGAATGGCCCACTTTGGTGTTCCCACGGCACTTATTCTTCTCCATCAGTCTCACTAAAGTATTACAAGGCTGGTTTCCATGCTTACTCCTGGGTTAGTCTCTTTCAGTCAGCTTGTCTTTTCTTCTGGAAGTTTCCACTGGTTTTATGCTGGGTGATAACTTTCTGACTATGGTCCCAAGTCCAATGCACCCCGTATCTGTTCCAGCTCTCCATACTCCACAGCACTCGTTCCTCTGAACGCATCAGTGGACTGATTCATTGATGGATTCAACACATGTCTACTGAACAATGCGTGTATGTACCACACATGCTGAAAATACAAAGAAACAAACAAAAAGAGCCCAAACCTTCAGAGTTCACAGTTTAGTGGAATTGCCAGAGAAACAGACAATGAGAACAACTTCAGTCCAACTCAAGACACCCCTCCAGTGGCTCTTAACTGTTCTCAGCCCAGGATCTTTCCTTCCCTGTTCAGATGTGGTTGCTGGAGCTCTCTTGACTGGTTCTGGATTCTTGGGTGCAGACACAATGCCCTGGAACTCTTTCATCTCTAAAGAACCTACAGAGAGACTACTTGACCATAGATTCTCTTCAAGTGTCTGACGATTGGTTTTGAACCATAAATAGCATAAAGAAATTAGAGAAGAGACACTCTAGACTTTATTTTGCAGTTTTGACCCTGAATGTTAAATGGATACGGTTCCTTTATGAGTTAGATTCATCCAGACTTTGTGCTTTTGGTGACCAGTGGATCCGATGGGGTGGGGAGGACACAGTTTGGATCCACAGTCTGGTCTGGATGGTACAGGACAGGCAGCAGCACAGTAGCAAATAGGGGAGAGTAGGAGGGATGAAAGGTTTCCTTGACCTCTGTGTTAGCTTTCCTGTACTGTGACAAACTACCCGACATAATAAAAAGAGAGAAAGATTGGTTTGGGCTCATGATTTGAGTGGTTTCAGTTGATGGTCCATTGGCCCCGTTGCTCTGGGGCCTGTGCTGAGGCAGCACATGATGGCAGAAGCATGTGGTGGAGGAAACCTGTCCCCCTCAGCATCCCCTTCAACATCCTTCTCAACAGCACATTCCCACCTCCTAAAGTCTCCACTAGGCCCAATCTACTACAGGTAGTTCTAATAGTGCCAAAGGTAGCAGCCGAGTCTTTAACATTATGAGCTTTGGGGCAAATTAAGGTCCAAACTATAGCATCCTCCCTTCCTCTCAGGATGCAGGCCAGTGTGTTTGCTGGACTCTCAGTCCCTTGGGACCCTCACCTCTTTGAGTAGAGCTCAAAGGGTCCACTTTCTATGCAGGCCACCATGCCAGCAGGAGGGCCCCACCAGCTAGATCCTGTGGAGAGGAATGAGGGGAGGTGGTGGTACTCTGTTTCTGTAGGCATTTCCAAAACACAGCACAGCTCCAGCAAAATGGCTGAGCCAATCAGTCGGCTTGATTCACAGACAGAAGCCCAGATAGTAGAGACCCTGCTAGTCCCTGCCGTTCCTTTATAGGCTGCACACCTGTACAACTGGCTTCTGTGGCTCAGTTTCACCTGGCGGGGTGGTGGCATCTATTGGTAAGACTTCGTGATTAACGATACTTTGGTGTATAGTATCATACTTATTGTCTGTTATCCAAGTCTTAGTTTCTATACCTATAAAGCTTTTTTTTTTTTTTGCCTATATTTCAGGAGGATTTTGAGAGTACATATTTGCAAAGCCCAGGCACTCGGAGGTGCTCCGCAAAGGACACCTGCTCTCATAATCTTCACCCCACAAGGGCTGCTTTCAGGACTGTGCTCACTCTGCTGCAGAATGGGGACCTCCCAACTCGCCCAGCTTTCCTTTTAGCTGTAGGAGGGACAGCCTGATTCACAGTGATCCCACCTCCTGCCTCTCGGTTTTGACTTTCCGTAGATCTGCTAAGCGGCTTCCCATTCCCACCTCTGCTCCTCATCTGCTGTATTGTGGTTCCAGGTTACAGATGTGTCCTGCCCCTACAGAACAGAGGGTTTGGGCTGCTGATTCTGCTTCAGACGTGTCCATCAGCACAGCACATAACGGGACGGCTTAGAATGAAAAAGTGGAACCAGCTCTTTGGGCTCCTCCTCCTCCTCCCTCCCTATTCCCTTAAATATAATAAAGTGCACAATAGCGGCTCATTCAGGCAGCAAGGCCTGTTTCCCGCCATCAGCACATTCCCGGGCCGTCTCCCACGGGCCCTGCGCGCAGATGAAGCAGTCAAGGCTGGAGTTTGACTGACTTATAGGCATGCGGGATGTAATCGGAGGCAGGAGAACTTTACAAGGAACCAGCTGCTCTTCGGAGGTTGATTTTCATTTTGGAAAATAGCAGAAGCAATTACCGTGGCTCATTAGAAGGCCCAACACACTGGCTGCAAAACTATATTTGGAAAACCGTATTCACTGAGCTCCAAAGCGGTGAGAGGGTGAGAATGGATGGAGGGGAAAAGCAAGGGAGATGAGGGCCCGCCCAGGTTTCGATGGCTTCTACACCCAGGTGACTTGAATGGAACGGCGAAAGGATCAAAAACTTATCCGAGCCATGACACCTGGCCAGTCCAGTCTGTGCTGGACCTTGAGTGGCTCGCTCCAGCCTTTGTTCAGGCTGAGGCCCGCCTGCCAAGTTGGGGTGGGCCAAAGCCATGCTGTTTAATTGCCTACAGGGAAGTTCAGATGGCCCCTCCGACTTCCAGAGCCCTGGGACGTGCCCCTCAATCAGGGCTAACTGCCCCTCAATCCCATCAGGGCTGACTGTGCTCTGAGAGCCTCCAGCCTCCTCTCCTGCTGCTTCATGAGGGGGGAGAATGGCTGCTGCAGGCTACTGGCTCGTGTCTTGTATTTGCTCCGTGTCCCAGGATGGGCAAGAGAGATCTAGGGCTTGGAGAGAATGGCTGGGATTTTGTAGGATGGAACTGTTCCAGAAAGAACCTGAGCAAAATCACCTCTATCCTGTTCCTTTCCGTTGGATGAGACTATTGGGAAGCCCTCATCCCAGTCATTTTTATAAGTTGTATGATGCAGATATTTAATTTGTACTGAAATATTCCCCCAATGTGGATGCTTGATCTTTTATAAAGTATTTTGACCAGGGCTGCTGAGAGCTGCTTCCCATTCAAAACAAACAAACAAACAAAATGAATGAACAAAAATCTAAGGGTTCCCCCACCAACAGGAAAGGTATGGAAACAGTTTTCCTTTAGCATATGTGTTGATCTGCAACCCAAGTCTCAGGGGTGACATCTCTGTGAGTTTCCATTGGCTTCTTCCCCTACCTGGGTGAAGAGCCCTGAATTTCTTATAAAATATCTCATTTCGCTGGGCTCAGTGATATACCTCTGTAATCACTGCAACTCAGGAGGCTAAGGCAGAAGGATCACAGGTTCAAGGCCAGCCCCAGCAACCCGTTAGATCTCATTTCAAGATAAAATTAAAAAAAAGAACTGGGAACGTAGCTCAGTGGTAGAGCACCCCTGGGTTCAATAACCAGTAACATTTAAATAAATAAATAAATAAATAAATAAATAAATAAATATCTCCTTTAAAACTCAGGCAGATGATTATTATTATTATTATTATTATTATTATTATTATTATTATTATTATTTCTATTTTAAAGAGAGATAAAAATGATGTTGGAGAAATTGTAATGATTTCCCAGGGCCACCCATCTCCACCACAACATGGCTCAGACAGGAACTCTGGTGGCTTCCATGTCATTCTGCCCTAGCATAGGACATGAGTTAAAAATGTGTCACCTGTAATAGGAAGCCTAAGTGACAATAACTAAACACTTGCAGATTCATTTATCTCAAAACTGGGGAACTCGTCACAATGAGCCGGCTCCTGCCATCTTTCCCATCTACCATCTATACTTAGCACGCGGCTTCTGCTCGCACTCAGGACCCATGCTGTGCCTTAAGGTAGCCCATTGCCATTCTAGGAAGAAGAAGGGAAGAAGGGGGATTTGAGCTTCCTAAGGCTGCTGTAGCAAATTACCACAATGGTGTGGCTTTACACAACAGAGAGGTTTACTCATCCATGGTTCTGGAGGTCGGAGGTCTAAACCAAGATGTCGGCAGGGTCATGCTCCCCTGAAGACCTAGCGGAGAACCTTCCCTTGCTTCTTCCAACTTCCTGAGGTGGCCAGCAATCCTTGCTGCTTCCTGGCTTATAGATGCACCTCGCCAGTTTTTGCTTCCATATTTAAATGGCCTTCTCCTCCGTGCACCTGTCTCCGTGTTTAAGCGTTGCTCTTCTCGGGAAGACACCTGTCATATTGGATTCAGGGTTTGTCTTAAGCCAATAGGACCTCATCTTAACCTTTCTATACCTGCCAAGAACTATTTCCAAGTAATATCACATTTATGGATGGACGTGAATGATGTGAGAATACGGTTCAACCTAGAGACAATTCTTGAACACTTCTCCTGTGTTATTTGGCCAAAAGGAACCTGGTAAAGTAGGTAAGGCAGAAGGAAGTTGGCTTACAGGTTAGCTGACACACACGACTATTATCTAGCTTTTTTGTTTCAGAGAAAGATAACTGGCACTTACAGAGCCCATACAGCAGGCCTGGAACTTATAGGCTTTCTATGTACCTTGCATTATTTAGTGTTCTAGATAATGAACAGAAGATGCAGCCCCTGACATCACTGAGCTGACAATCCAATAAGGGAGACACATGGAAATTGGATTGTCAGCTCAGTGGTGTCAGGGGCTGCATCTTCTGTTTCCTTTGTACTCTATGCAATTTGGGGTGCGGTACACACGATGTGGGACTCATTACCACCCAGCCTTCCTCACTCCCGGACAGACCATGTTCTCCCAGGTTCTGTCTGATGTCAGCCCTGGGAACTGGGCTCTATGGGATGTTTTTTCCTCTGCCGCCTCCATTAGCAGCTGTTGTATTTCATAAGTCATTCAGGGGCTGCTCTTTGTGTGACCCAGGAAAGAATAAGTTTCTATCTAGAAACTCCTACCGTGGTGGTGGTAGTGTGAATGGGTTCTTTGAAGAAGCTGAGTTCTCATCCTGAACTGGGACCCGGGGTGCTAGGCTCTAGGTTCTCTAAAGTCCAGCTGCCATGTCCACACCTGGAATTTCAGGTTCTAGGACACTGATGCTCCCACGTCCTAACTTGGCTGAATCCTTTCACGTGTTTCTGAAGGGAAGGAGAGGACAGAATCAGATCCAGTGTCTAAATACCACACCTTCAGAGAGAACTATGCCGGTGGACGTGGGAAGGGTGGGCAGACAGGTGGGAGATAGGGTATCTGGAAGGATCCATGGTGTGCTGGGTGTCCACCACACACGCTCCTGGGTGTGGATCCATCAGCTCCACCCCCTGGGCAGAGTGGATTGGACCAGCGATGAGCGTCTGGTCCACAGGCAGCCTTAGATGTACACAGCAGAGTCACCTGGGGAGCTTCAAAATACCAGATGCCCAATTCAGCACCAGATGGAGATGCTAAC